TAATTTGATCATATGATTCTAAGATACAAATGGGGCTCCTTTTTGGTAAAAGCAACAAATAATAGAGAGGCAGTTGTTTACAGTTGATCACTCTGGTAGGGACCTTAAAATTCCTCAAAATTTCCTTAACTAGGAAACTATCATCTAATTGATGGTGACGATGATTATGAGAGTCCAATGGTAAGTGTTAAACAAAATGGACTAGGTCTGTTCATCTATTCTTAGGGTTACTGCAAACATCGCACCCAGAAATGGAAGTTCCCCAAGCTAAGTGGGCTAGACTCCGTCATCTGTCTTGTACTCAAGACATGGTTTATGGAAAGCCCATGTTTGCCTCACTCCAGTTGTTAGAGAGGAAGATTTATAAGCTCAAATTCAGAACTCATCAAGATCCCAAGCCTGAAGCCTTGAAGATGCAAGTCTTGGAAATGGTTGATTTGGTCCATACATCTATGGATGTTTTGACCATGACTATGGATGCTTTGATTCAAATTCAAAACGAGCTGTAAGCCTATATGGCCGCATTACCGCTGCTCTTGAACTGCAAAAGAACTTCAGTGATAATATTGCATGATGGAAAGCCAAAATCATGCGAGCATTGACTGTGCAATTCCACGAGGGATCGTGTCAAGACCCCACTCAGAGGGCCTTTCATCCACTCCACATGTCATTATCCAGAGCCCTACAAATCCTCGAGGACAAGGGGCATTTGAAACCCCGAACCTTTGCCAAACCCTCTGTCAGCTAGTTATGACCTTACCCTCTACTATGCCTTTCACGAAAGTCGGCCATGAAACTGACCATTGTTCCTACCTTTACCTTAAAATCTAGGATTTCATTCATTTTGAAATCATACCACCCCCAAAACCAAGTATATCCGCCAACCATGACAAAGCCACACCTTCATCCAGCATCAACTTCATACAAACCATCCCCATCTTTGATCCAAGCCAATTCATTGTCTCTGCTAACTTGCCCAAACCACTAGTACCTACACTTGAGGAAATAGGAATAAACGCCCTTTGACAAGGGTCGTAAGAGTATGACCTTGATTTCCTGGTAGTCTTTATGGCTCGAATGTAGGAGTTGATTGCAGAATTGAAATAAATGGTGCTCCCAGAGCAACCCCGCTCGAGCGGCCAATACCACGCTCGAGCGTCCAACACAGCACAGGAAATACTGGATGGGTGCAATTCCCGCTCGAGCGCCAAAACCCCCGCTCGAGCGGACAGGTCAAAATCTGGGCAACTAGTTTTGGTTTCTAAACTCAACCAACCTGTAACAAACCTGCCCAACACATCCCATAACTCAAATACTAAGTAAAAAGGATGTAGACAAGATAATAAACAACTACCAACATCCACGGACACATGTCCGGATCACTGTATATCAAGGGTAAACCCGGGATCGCTATATAAACTCCCTCTGGGAAAATTCTATAGTGGATAGCTCTCCGTGGACGTACGCAATTGCCAAACCATGTAAATATTCTTGTGTTATTGTGTGTGATTGATTTCTGGTGTCTCAAAGTCCCAACAAGTGGTATCAGAGCTAAATCGGTTGCATTTCGAAAAAATAGAGTGCATTTTTTTGAAACTATCAGAAATCAAGTTGCTCAAAATCATGTTTTGAGCATACCAGGAGCAAGGTCTCCAAGAGAGGAGTCCAGAACTGCAAAGAAGAACCCAAGAACATGATTCACGCGCCCTCACGCGATTCTTGAAGAGAGCACGGGAAGCCCACGCACAGCACGCGCCACCACGCGCCGTTGACTAGCCGGCGCGTCATCACAAGCGCACCCCACACGCTGCACGTACGTCTGCAGGAAGAAGACGAGCCACGTCAGTGCCACGTCGGCTCCACGTCATCGACACGTCAGCGCCACATCAGCGCTACGTCATCTGCCACGTCGGTGACACGTGTCAGCTAGCCAGCCATGTGGCAAACACGTCAGCCTGCCGTTGACCAGTCAACTTTCCGAATGAGCGATCCTGTGCTTCGCGGCAAAGGTACACCTGCAGATCAGAACCGTCCAAACTATTTTGGCTCGATCTGAGTCATTCTGAGTCCGTTTTTGATGATCCAATAGTTATTTCCAACTATTTGGAGTATTCCGAACACATCTGTACGGTCAGATTTTGCAAATCAGATTTCAAAAATTTTCAGTTTGTATTTGGACAATCCGAAGTGTTTTTCCGGCTAATTTGACTAGTCCGGACTCAACGGCAAAGCCTGTTTTTCAAAAGAGATTATTTTCTTTACAGACAAGTGTTGGTAGGGGAATCACCGTCGCCTTCAGGATCTATGTTCAAGTTGACTCCTTCCAATTATGCAATTTGGAGGTCACGGATGGAAGACACCTTGTATTATAAAGACCTGTTTGACCCTATTTCTATAAAAAGGGTTAAACCAGAAGCAATGAAGGATGATGACTGGATAAAGATGAACCGCAAGACTATCAGTTGTATCAGACAATGGATAGACCACGGTGTGTACCATCATGTCGCCGAGGAGACAGATGCCTATGCTCTATGGACAATGTTAGACGACATGTACCGGTCAAAGACTGCTCGGAACAAAGTCTTGGTGATAAGAAGGCTTGTCAATTTGAAATTGAAGAATGGTATGTCTGTCGCCGAGCACACCAGTGAATTCAGAAGTCTGGTGAATCAGCTTGCAACCGTCAAGATGCACTTAGACGATGAAATGCAAGCTGTTTTACTGCTCAGTTCTTTACCGGATCGCTAGGAGACGTTAGTGGTTTCTCTCAGCAACTCTGCACCAGAAGGAAAACTGACTATGAGCATGGTCACTGAGGCCATGTACAATGAAGAGACAAGGCGGAAAGACTCGGGTGGAGATCAATCCCATGCCCTCGTCACAGAAAATAAAGGTAGAGGCAGAGATAGAGGAAGAAACAAAAGCAGAGGACGCAACAGAGGAAGATTTCAAGACAGATGGAAATCCAAAGAAGGTACGAGTCGGCTGAAGTTCAAATGTTACCATTGTGGCCAAGAAGGACACATAAAGAAATACTGCTATACCTTGAAGGGAGAACAAAAAGAAGGTAATAAACAACCAAAGACTGAAGATGAGAACACTGCAGTTACTGTCTCAGAGGATATTACATTATTCTCTGTTGAAAAGAAAAATGCCTCCATATGTCAGACAACGACACCGAGTGGGTGGTAGATACAGCAGCTTCCTACCACGCCACACCCCGGAAAGAGTTCTTCAGTATGTACCAAGCTGGAGATTTTGGTATAGTGAAGATGGGCAACTCCAGTTTTTCAAAGATTATGGGAATCGGTGATGTTCGCATCCAAACTAAAGTTGGGTGCACGATGGTGTTGAAAGATGTCAGGCATGTTCCTGATTTACGCCTGAATCTTATCTCAGGGATAGCCTTAGGTCGACAAGGCTATGAGAACTATTTCGGTAAAGGCATGTGGAAGTTGAAAAAGGGATCTCTGGTGGTAGCCAGAGGACAGACAAGTGGCACTTTGTACAAAACTCATGTGGAGGTGCATTCAGATAGCCTCAACGCAACAGAAGATGAGGCATCACCAAATTTGTGGCATAAAAGGCTGGGTCACATGAGTGAGAAAGGGTTGTAAATTATGGCAAAGAAGTCACTTATTCCCTTTGCCAAAGATACGAAATTGAACCCTTGTGACAGCTGCTTGTTTGGGAAGCAACATAGAGTTGCTTTCCACTCATCATCCAGAAGACAATCAGAGTTGTTGAGCAGAGTATACTCTGATGTATGCGGTCTCATAGAAGTGAAATCTTTGGGTGGTAGAAAATACTTCCTGACATTTATTGATGATGCATCACAGAAGGTATGGGTTTATGTCCTAAGAACCAAAGCTGAGGTGTTCTAGCATTTTCTAACATTTCATGCTATGGGGGAAAGGGAGACCGGAAAGAAGCTGAAGTGTCTCCGAACAGACAATGAAGGCGAGTACACGTCAAAGGAGTTTGAAGCCTACTGTGCTACTCGCGATATCTGACATGAGAAGACTGTTCCTAGAACCTCACAACACAATGGTGTAGCCGAAAGAATGAACTGGACCATTATGGAGAAGGTTAGATGTATGCTAAAAATGGCAAAGCTGCCAAAGCCATTTTGGGGAGAAGCTGTTCGTGTTGCATGCTATTTGATCAACAGATCACCATCAGTTCCACTGAATTTTGACATTCCAGAGAAAGTATGGTCTGGAAGGGAGATTTCTTACTCTCACTTGAGAGTGTTTGGGTGCAAAGTATTTGCACATGTATCCAAGGAGCACAGACAGAAGCTGTATGATAAAGCTACTCCATGCATCTTTATTGGCTATGGAGATGAAGAATTTGGATACAGATTATGGGATCCAAAAAACAAAAAGGTCATTCGAAGCCAAGATGTGGCATTTCAAGAAGGCCAGACCTTAGAAGACTTTGGGCAACCAACCAAATCCAAAGTTAATGATGTTTTAGAAATTGTTCCCAATCCTGCACCATCACAGCATGCCACTAATGAAGAAGAGCTACCGCAGCATGCAACCAATGATGTAGAGTTGCAGGATGGATTTCTAGAAGAAGAAGATCCAGAAGAAAAGGGTTTTAAGCAGGGGGAGCCACAACCCCCTCCGCCAGAGGCTGTTGGTCCACAGTTGCGAATATCAACAAGAGAGTCTAAGTTGTCGTCAAAATACCCTACTTCTGATTATATTTTGCTTACTGATGAAATAGACTTGCAATTTTAAATAATCTAAAGTTATTAAAATAATAAATAAATAATTGTTGTAATTTAAAATGACAAGGTAAGTAGATGTGGGATCAAAACATTAGGAACAATAACAATCATTCATTTGATCAAAGAATAAAAATTACACATAAAGTCAAGACACCTTCTGGGAAGGATATACTCATAGATTCACACATCTGTTCTTTTCTAATTCGTAGTGAACACAAAATTATGATAAATTAATTGTATCGTAGAGAGTTTGATGTATGCAATGGTGTCTACCCAACCAGATATCGCTCATGCTGTTGGAGTAGTAAGCAGATTCCTTTCCAATCCAGGAAAAGAGCATTGGGAAGCAGTCAAGTGGATTCTGAGGTACCTCAAGGGTACGACAAAAATGTGTTTGTGCTTTAGAAATGCTAAACCAGTCTTGGAAGGCTATACGGATTCCGATATGGTGGGAGATCTTGATGGTAGGAAATCTACATCAGGATTTCTGTTCACTTTCGCAGGGGGAGCTGTGTCTTGGCAGTCCAAGTTACAGAATTATGTTGCTTTATCCACAACCGAGGCAGAATATATTACCGCAGCGGAAGCTGGGAAAGAGATGTTGTGGTTACAGCGGTTTCTCCAAGAGTTGGGATTAAAACAAGAAAAGTTCATGGTACATTGTGATAGCCAGAGTGCCATAGACCTGAGCAAGAATTCGATGTACCATTCTCGCACAAAGCACATTAATATTCGGTATCATTGGATACGTGAAGTGATGGAAAGGCAGTTATTGGAACTGATCAAGATCCATACAGATAAGAATCCAGCTGACATACTGACCAAGGTGGTCTCGAGAAACAAACTCAAAATCTGCAGAGACATTGCCGGGATGGACTTCAAATGAGAAGTCAGCTCCATATGGGCGTGGAGGGGAAGAATTGTTAGTGTTCCACTGCCCATTCAAATGGAGCAACCACTATGGATAGTCGCTCTCCCACTCTTCCACTTCACCCACCCCATTAGCTAATGGAAGGGGTTGGTGGCAACCGATGACCTCCTTCCTCAATTGTGTATAACTTGAGGTGATGAGGAGGGGTTGGAGATAGACAAGAAAAGAAGACAAGTGATTACAGTGTGTGTAATCTAAGAGATTGTGAGAAGTGAGAGTGCTATAGTGTGTAAGTGAGGTGTGAGTGTGTAAACTCCCTCCAGGAAAATTCTATAGTGGATAGCTCTCTGTGGACGTAGGCAATTGCCGAACCACGTAAATATTCTTGTGTTAATGTGTGTGATTGATTTCTAGTGTCTCACAGTCCTAACACAAGGACTGAGGGAATTCAGTTTTAAAACCCTTTTTTCTGCGACAGAAGGTTTCCATGCCAAAAACAAGCTTGGCAAAGGTGGCATCGCCCAAGTATACAGGGTAAATCATCTTATGATCCAAACACAACCTTAGTGTACTGAAGTAGACCAAAAAAAGAAAATATTTTCTGGTCAAGAAAAAATAAACTTTATTGATGAACGAAGAATGAACAGCGTACATCAACAAAGAGCAAGGATGTACAAGCATCAACACATAAAGAAAACATATTGTTTTGTAGTAAAAAAATAAGTAAAATAATTTCAAAATATGTGAAGTTATATATGTTTTTGTCCTCCTCTAAAATTTGAATCTTGGATCCATCCTTGGCTGAAAATGTTTTGTAGGGCAAGTTGACTGATGGGGGCGAGATTGCGGTGAAGAAACCATTGGTGATCTCAGAGAAGGGAAAGGAACTTGTCATGAACGAGATGAAACTGTTGTTGGGGTCTGCACACCACCGAAATATTGAGTTTGCAAGTAATGGAAGCCTTGATTACCTTCTTTTTAGTAAGTACTAATATCATCTACTGTATTTTTAATTGTAAGTTGAGTTAAGGTCTTCGAAAATCAAATAGATTCATTCTAAATTTATTATTTTAAAATTACACTTGCCTTACTGTGACACAAATTCTCAATGTTATTTTCCCAACTATAAGACTAGGCAGGTTTTACTTTGAATTCACTTTTATGAAATTTTTCATCTGTAATTGAGAAATTTCTATTCAAATTCCTACATTAACTTTCATGTAACTTTTTGAGAAGTTTTCCAGATCTGTTTTTTATTTTAATTTTTATTCTTGTCTAAATTCTATTTAATTATTAATAAAAATATTAAATAACCTATATGATTGATTAATATGTTAGACCACCATTATTATCTTGCTAAGATTGCAATTAATGAGAACCAATAAAAGACTCTCACATAGACTTGCAATTTTAAATAATCTAAAGTTATTAAAATAATAAAATAAATAATTGTTGTAATTTAAAATGACAAGGTAAGTAGATGTGGGATCAAAACATGAGGAACAATAACAATCATTCATTTGATCAAAGGATAAAAATTACAGATAACGTCAAGGCACCTTCTAGGAAGGATATACTCATAGATTCACACATCTGTTCTTTTCTAATTCGTAGTGAACACAAAATTATGATAAATTAATTGTATCATACTACAATTTTTTTATTAAGTCACCATTTTCAACGCGGCAACTAATACCAAACTTTTGTACTATTTTTGATGGTCTAGATTCAGAGACTTGTAGAGCAGGCACACTTGACTGGAAGCGAACATATGCCATAATCATAGGTGTTGCTCGGGGCTTGCTTTACCTTCATGAACGATCACACAATGTAATTATCCACTGTGACATTAAACCCACCAACATCCTAATAGATGAAAATTGGGTCCCCAAAATTGCTGATTTTGGCATGGCCAACCTCTTCCCTCAAGATCAAACGCATGTTAATATCAATGAAGCTACCGGTACACTGTATGTATTAAGCATATAATTTTTCTTATTTTTCCTAATGTATTTAAATTATCTATATGTTGTCACTAAATCCTGCTCTTTTCAAAGAAAAAAAAAATCGAATCCATCCAATCAATGTTTTGTTGAGTTTTCAAAAACCTTTTTCTGTCTTTTTTTTTTATTTTTTTATTTTTATAAACCAAACTTTTTGAAATTTTTTTTTTTTTTGAACAAAAAACTTTTTGAAACTTGATTTGTTGTTAACGTATGCTTGTACATGGAGTCAGTGGGTATTTGGCTCCCGAGAACATGGATAATGGACACGTCTCTCCGAAGGCGGACACATACAGCTTTGGAGTAGTGGTTTTGGAGTTGATAAGCAGTCGGAAGAATTGGAATTCCCATAATCAGTCTCCCAATGGTCAAGGTCTATGGGATACGGTAAGCGCACGTGATTCACATTTTTAATTTGAACTGAGTTTAATTTGCAATTAGCCATTATCATACAAGGGAGGTGTCTCCAACTGAGCTTGTTGCTAAATTTTGTGACATGATCATTCATTGTTGACGAAGGCAAATGAACTCTGCAAGGAAGTGAAGGTGTCAGAGTTTATGGACCTGAAATTGATACCATCGGCTATCCTTGATCAAGTACAATTGTATGTAAAGATTGGGGTGCTGTGCACAGAATTTGATCTAGAACTACGACCCACCATGGATCCCGCGTACTCAATGCTATTAGAGAACCATAGTAGCAGCAACACCCAAGTTAATGAACCAATGAGAGACGGATCATCATCATCATCATCCACAGCTTGAAATTCAGGTGAGTCCAATTCCCATAAGAATTTCTACTTCCAAGGGCCCTTTATGTTCAATGATTCTCCTATAAGCATTTCTTTCCATTTGACGAAATCACACTACAAGAAAAGTGGGTATAAAACACGAAACTTTTTGCGACGGCGTGTACACCGTCGCAAAATCTTTTGCGATGGCATATGAAGCCGTCTCAAATAAATATTTTCTGCGACGGTAGTTTCCCCGTCGCTAATAAGCACACAACAAAAAGCCTCTTAAATACGGAACTATTCGCAACGCACTGTGTACCGTCGCAAAAATATTTTTTTTGAGACGGCGAAATTTACCGTTGCAAATAGTAGACATTTGTGACAGGAATTCTCTATCGCAAAAAAAACTCTTATTAAAACAGCGTCATTTTAATGAATGGATTTGATCATTTGTGACGATTTTTCTATACCGTCACAAATAGAACTGAAAAATTTCATCTCCCTCCTTCAGCCGAAATGGCCCTCAAAATCCCCAAAATCCCTAACACCATTCTCCCTCAAAACCCCCAAAATCCCTAAATCGAGTTCGTGTATCACAATCACAGAGACGAGTTCGAGTTCCCAAAGTGATGAATGATCTTTCTCTCTCTCTCTCTCGACGAGCGACGACGGCGACGGCGACGGCTAGCGGCGTTCGAGTTCACCGACGATCACAGCGACGACGGCAAGTGTTCACTGACGATCTCTCTCTCGACGAGCGACGACGGCTAGCGGTGGTACGGCGATGGCGTATTACAATCTCTCTCTCTCGCGCGAGCTCAGTCAGTATTCTCTCTCTCTCTCTCTCTCACACATACACACACACACACTGATATCTATATATATATTATAAATTTTTCTTCCCTTGTATGCTAATAACTGGTGACACATGTTAACACACTGATTCTGTTCGTGGTACATGATGATTCATGTCGGTTTTCATTTTTACATAGTTACAAAACATGTCTTTGTTTGGATGGTCCATGAGAAGGAATACAATTTGGGATTGATTAAATCATATTCTTGAAAGAATATCATGTGGGTTCGTGATGTTTCCGTAACACCAGATACCTTCTCATAGGCAACAATTTGTTTGGGGGGATATGTTTCCACCCTTGTGGCATATACTTTGCTTTGGAGTTTGGTAATTGTGTACATATCAAGAAAATTTGTTTAGGAGGTGTTTGGTGATAGTAGCTTGGTATTGTTGGGGGTAGGTTGGTTGAATAGGGTAGACACATTATTAGATGGGAGATGTGGGGGGCCACTCCATCCCCACCATTTCAAATTGTGTTAAGGGGAGGAATTTGAATTAGGAGAGGGAACAAGGGAAAAGTAAAAGGTGTTGGCGTGGTGGGGGTTTGTATGATGGGTTGTTTCTTGCTGGGAAAAGAGAAGGTACGGAGAAGAAGTTGCTCAACACGTAAGTCTTGTTATTCTAACTTCTTATTGATAATACTCATTTTTCTTGTTTCATTTTTTCAATATTATAAATAGCAGTGGGTTAAGACGTGTAGAAATCATAAGTTTCCTTGATGAATCATGTATTCATTTTGATTTTTCTCTCCTTGGCTGTATCTGGGGTCATTCCAAAACATTTGCCTCTCCCAAATACCAAGAGCTACTATAGTTTGGTAATGTAAATGGTATCTTTCTCCAGTTATTAAATTTCAGCCTGATTGTTGTAGTATGATGTGTTATAGTAACGTATCTTTTTAATGTGCTTTATGACCTCCCTGTTGGACCTGATATCCTGGTACGGATGGAATCTTGTCCCCTTGGAAATAATTAGTCATACTGGTGTTCTCTTCTTGTTACTTTCTTGGTTTAGATGCCGACCATGATGTTATTTTATAGATAGGGTTGGTACAAGACGTAAATCTGTGAAGTTAAAGTGTTGTATTACGAACTAATTTGTCCGTCTAAATGGAAACATACCAGATTCTTTTTAGAAGCTTTTGTCCTTGCATTGTTTTACTCTTGTTGCAAGTCATCAAGTTAATGTTTCGTTTTAATTGATTGCAGATAGTGTTTGGTTATTGATTTCTTTCATACCAATGCTGAAAAAAGGGATATGGGTGACGTTTTTTTTAACTACGTTTTTTAAACGTCACCATTATTATATTTAACGGCGTTTTATAAACAACCCGAATATTCTTTTAACGCAAAACGGCACCATTTTATAATAGGAGGCGTTTAAAAACGCCTCCGAATGCAGTAGCCACACGCGCCTTTTTCAAACATTACTTTGTATGTAGGCCCTCTCTCAACCCTTAGACGCGTACATCATTTTGAATCTGAGCCCTCTCTCTCTCTCAACCCTCTCTAAGCTCCATCGAAGATTCAATATTCGAAGCTCCATCGAAGTGATTTCGAAGGTCCATCGAAGCGATTTCGAAGCTGCCATTGAAGATTCAGATAGAGATTCAGAAATTCAGAAGCTCAGATCTGAACTCTGACCCCTCGATTACTCGCATTTCAAGCTCAAATCGGTACTCTCTCTCTCTCTCTCTCTCTCTCTCTCTCTCTACATGAAGCTACATAAGTAGAAAGTTTCATTTTCAAGATTTCATAGAAATCATCTACATGAAGCTATATAAACATGATGGAAAATTTGGAGTTATATTTTATGCTAATCTTCTAATCTGGTGCACTTTGCTAATCTGGTGCCTCTTGCTCATCTGTTGCCTCTGTATCTGTGTGCTGCTCTGGTGTACCTTTGCTCTGTTTTGCTGTATATGTGTTCTAGTATGCTGTTACATTGGTGTATCTACAGTTACATTAGTGCTTCTCTAGCACAGCTGCCTTGTTAGCTACTATTTTTTGCTATTTTATTTTTGTGTTTTGTGTTTGGTTGGTGAGAAAAAGTAGGAAAGTATTTACAATAGCTTCAGTATCATCTCCACCAGTAGGACAACTACGTCCTCTAGGTTAAAACTCTGCAATTTAGGCCAATTTGTGAGGAGGTGGTCAAGTGCACAATAACCCTCAGTTAACAAATGCCTCATCACCCCAAAACTACCTTATGGTTAAGAATTCCATCTTTCCTGAAGTATCCATTTGTTGAGTAACTTGATGAAACCTTGACCCAAATGCATTCAATTTTTTTAGACTCATTTTAGCTCAGTAGTTTCAACCTACCTCAGTTGTTTTTATCTTGAACAGCACAATCTTTGTGGCTTTGAAGACTTGAGCTAAAGAGAATATAATCATTCAATATCAGTTTGCAATGGCTTCACTAGGGCATCACCATGCATTGCAACATCTAACACAGAGACCTTGGTCATTATCCTGAACCTAACAGACAACAGAGTCATCCTCAACAAAATATGTCGATTTGTCATCTATTTAAATATTTGTTTTGATAGGTAATTGTCTATTTAAATTATAAAATTGTTTTTCCTACCTTAGTTATAATTACATTTGCAAAATAAAAAAAAAACTCTAGTAATATGAGTAAAATATTATCCTGAACCTAACAGACAACAGAGTCATCCTCAACAAAATATGCCGATTTGTCATCTATTTAAATATTTGTTTTGATAGGTAATTGTCTATTTAAATTATAAAATTGTTTTTCCTACCTTAGTTATAATTACATTTGCAAAATAATAAAAAAAAACTCTAGTGATATGAGTAAAATATGTTTATTAAGCTACGTAGTCCAACATGAACTAGGATACAAATCAGGTGCTTGCTTGTTGAGCAGTTTGACCAAAACTTTTATTTTTTTACTTACTAGATTATATCAACCAACAAATGACTAGATAGAGCGCATGGAAATTACTAACAAAAATGGGCTAAGTTTTATGTGAATTAATGATGAATCATGTATTCATTTTGATTTTCTCTCCTTGGCTGTATCTGGGGTCATTCCAAAACATTTGCCTCTCCCAAATACCATGAGCTACTATAGTTTGGTAATGTAAATGGTATCTTTCTCCAGTTATTAAATTTCAGCCTGATTGTTGTAGTATGATGTGTTATAGTAACGTATCTTTTAATATGCTTTATGACCTCCCTGTTGGACCTGATATCCTGGTACGGTATGGAATCTTGTCCCTTGCTTGGAAATAATTAGTCATACTGGTGTTCTCTTCTTGTTACTTTCTTGGTTTAGATGCCGACCATGATGTTATTTTATAGATAGGTTTGGTACAAGACGTAAATCTGTGAAGTTAAAGTGTTGTATTACGAACTAATTTGTCGTCTAAATGGAAACATACCAGATCTCTTTTTAGAAGCTTTGTCCTTGCATTGTTTTACTCTTGTTGCAAGTCATCAAGTTAATGTTTCGTTTTAATTGATTGCAGATAGTGTTTGGTTATTGATTTCTTTCATACCAATGCTGGAAAAAAGGGATATGGTGACGTTTTTTTAACTACGTTTTTTTAAACGTCACCATTATTAATATTTAACGGCGTTTTATAAACGCCGAATATTCTTTTAACCAAAACGGCACCGTTTTATAATAGGAGGCGTTTAAAAATGCCTCCGAATGCGGTAGCCACACGCGCCTTTTCAAACCTTACTTTGTATCTAGGCCCTCTCTCAACCCTTAGACGCGTACATCATTTTGAATCTGAGCCCTCTCTCTCTCTCAACCCTCTCTAAGCTCCATCGAATATTCAGATATTCGAAGCTCCATCGAAGTGATTTCGAAGGTCCATCGAAGCGATTTCGAAGCTCCATTGAAGATTCAGATAGGGATTCAAAAATTCAGAAGCTCAGATCTGAACTCTGACCCCTCGATTACTCGCATTTCAAGCTCAAATCGGTACTCTCTCTCTCTCTCTCTCTCTACATGAAGCTACATAAGTAGAAAGTTTCATTCTCAAGATTTCATAGAAATCATCTACATGAAGCTATATAACCATGATGGAAAATTTGGAGTTATATTTTATGCTAATCTTCTAATCTGGTGCACTTTGCTAATCTGGTGCCTCTTGCTCATCTGGTGCCTCTGTATCTGTGTGCGGATCTGGTGTACCT